CCGCTTTCGTGTGCCTAGTGGACGAGGTCCACGATGTCTGCACTAGACCAGGCGGGTGCCCGCCTCTTGCGGTCCTGGCCAGGCTCCCAAGAGCCACCAGCCTGGTCCCGGGAAGAGGAGGAGGGTTGGGGGGCATTGGGTGGGTGGCTCGATCCGTGCCAGGTGCAGGGTCTGCTAGCTGGGTGCTGGCAAGTGTGCACCTGGCATGGGCACCGTAGCCAGCCCGTGCCCCTTTAAGGGGTCCGGGGCCGGGAGGGGGGCAGACGAGTTTCCCTGGTGTTGGCCAGAGTGGCCACCAGGGAAACCTGGGGAGGGCTATCCTCCCACTAGTTCGAATTAAGGGTCTACACAGCCCTTAATTCGAACTAGTAAGTTCGAACTAGGCTTAATCCTCATGGAATGAGGATTACCTAGTTCGAACTAAGCGCTCCATTAGTTCGAATTAAATTCGAACTAACGGAGCGCTAGTGTAGCGCCTATGAAAGTTAGTTCGAACTAACGTCTGTTAGTTCGAACTAACTTTGTAGTGTAGACATACCCCTACATATTAACCGCTCTAGTTGAACCTCTTTAGTCTGGCATCCTTGGGAACTGACTGGTGTTGAACCAGAGAATTTGCCAGATCATTGTCTAGCAGCATTACCAACACCTCCATCACTTACTGGGCTCTTAGAAGACATTTTAGGGGTAAATTAGAGCTAAATAATAGCACAAAACACTGAAAGCCAGGACTAGTGGTTGTTAACAGACTTTATGGAACTGTGGGAATCTTGGCCATATTCATGATAAGTGGACACTCGCTAACTGATCATGCTGGACCAGAGAGTATTAGACTAGAGAGGTTCAACTTGTACCAAAATTGCAACAAATATTTATATTGCATTTTTGATCTACAGGTGCTGGTTTTATGGATCTTGAAACTGGAGAGGAATAGTGTGTTTTTCTTATATGGCTGTTACTCTGTCACTAGGTCTAAACTAGGTTTGATAACAGAATGAATGTTCTGGACTGAACAATAAGAACAACGTTCACAGTAACCACAGAAACAGTTGTGTAGAGGCTGATATATGGGCAGAGGTGTGGATTAAATATGAACTAGGTTTGACAGAAATATGGAACAAAGACTGTTCCATAGCCAGAAGCATGAAAACCCCAGAGTGGGGAAATGGACTTGATATGGGGTAATTGTCCTAGCTGCCTGCAGTAACACAGCAAAACTGGCAAACAAAATGCATAGATTAGAGGAAGGGGAGAATTTTGCTCTATACTTAGAACTGCAATCTGCCAGTATAATGAACACATACTAAGTCATTAATTTGAAAAATACCCTTTTAATGGTGCTTTCTGCCTGTTTCCCTTACACTTTAGTTGTCTTATTTTATAGATGTGATGTTCCAGAAAAATACAGATCACTGAGACTTACACCCACACAGGAAATATCTCCACATGCTAACTGCATGATTATCTTGAGCGCTCAGCATTCTGAACATGACGGAAGCTGGTGATAATGAGGAGAAAGAGGCCTTAACCAGTTATTTCATTGCAGCGGAAGCAGGAATCCATAGGTCTCAGCTCTGTATTAGCTCCACCAAATGGCAACACTGCATGATCCTGTCCATTACTGGCATAGTTAACAGCAGAGAACCATGACCAAAGATAGAAACTCAAGTATTAGGCCATGGAATTGAAGCATAGATACTAACAAAACAATATTATCCTGTCCTCTTTCTTGGAGTGCTAGATTAGGGAATCCCTCAGGGTTCAGTTCTCCCATGTATCTCTTCATTTTCCCTGTTGCTCCCCCAAAGCACAAATGCCACCAAATCCTGTATATCAGTATCCAAGACATTCAATTTCATATCCTTCTGATGAGTAGTTTTATAGATCTACTTACATGGACCAGACATCCACCTTTGGACCATATTTCTTATGAGCTAGGAGTTCTGGGGCAGCATAAGCTGGGCTTCCACACTGGGTATTCAATAGCTCCTGAGAGAGACCCTCAAATTTCATAGTATTGCTCAGTCCAAAATCTGCCAGATTCACAACAAACAAACAAAAATTTGTAGTCTCCTCTGGGACTTATTTATCCTTAAAACTTGGCTAGAGACAGGGGAAAAGATACAGAAATAATACACTGAAACAAGCAATATTATGAAGGAAGTGACTAGGTTCTTTTTTCTTTCTCTCTTTCCACTTACTATTAATATGGTAACTTTATTCTTATAATACAGTACGCACTGATTTCTGAACATGCTCTAAATTTGTACATAGAATAAACATTATGCACTTGGGACTTGCACACTTATACCAGTGCAGCTTTATTAAGTTAGAATATGAATTTGAAACAATTAGCTAAACTGATGCCAAAGACTGTGGGCAATCATGGTTCAATTTAAATGGCCTATATCACTTTAGCTAAAATTAATGAGTGTCATGGTTCCAGGGTGAGCTGGACTCTGCATTGCCTTGGCAGTGTAGTCTGCCACTTTCCAGAGATTAAATCCCCCCTCCATCCATCTTGATGTATTTTAACTTTGAGTAGTGCTCCATGACAGCTGCTCAGTGCAGTTAGCACTTCTAACAAAGAATGGTTACAAAATAAGAATGAATGATAAGCTAGTTAAGAGAGATTGAGTGGTCCCAATAATAGGTTTGTAAACAAGTGTGAACATTTACAAGAACAGCATTGTACACTGGGTTGCAACCCTGCAAAGCACAAACCGACCCCTAAGGTGATAACCCATTGAGGTGCTCTGTTACAGTTATCTGTAGAGGGTGAATAGTCTCAAAAATGAATGTCTAATGACCAACAATTACAAGGGAACAAACTCACACAAAGCTATGAAGCCCCTAAGCAGTGCCAACAAGATTTCAGCCCACCAGATGTGCTCATCACAACCATTCTGGAGCTACTGAGTTTGTAACTGAATTCCCCTTTTCCAGGGAATCATACTTCATGTTGCGGTATGGTTTCGTGAGGCAAGTTAGGAGCTGGTATCTGTGGTTCCTCCAATATAACAGCTGGCACAGACACATCATGGAAAACTATATGAAAGTTGGGGAATATATTCCCATCTTCCCACATCCCAATCATCTGGATGCCCTGGTGTCATGAATCTTTCCAGTGTTTCACATATTGGTATTCATAAATCTGTCTTTGTGGGCTACTATGCATTGCCAAATGAGTGAATAGTTTCTGGTCTGCATATTCCTTTTGGTGGGCAAAGTATCAGGATGTGAGTGCTATTGATGGCCCCTGTACAGTTCTGAAACCCCATCTGAAATCCAGCTATTTTTAACAGAAGTTTGCTTTCGGCAGCCCCCACTTGGGTAAATCACAGTATTAGTTGCCTTGCAAACTTGTAGAACCACAACCGTAGCCATGGCCTTTACTGCCCCCTAAGTGGTTTGCAGTTGACCATTAGCTGCCTGGTATTGCAAGCTTCCATAGAGCAACAGCCACCTGCTATGGCTTCCCTGTATGGAGTATTCAGGCAATGGGCATATGGTGCAAGCTTCTCCCACAGCTCCATGACAGTCTCCTTCCTCATCTGGAAATTCTGAATTCCAGGTCATCCCATTGTTTCCAAAACAATATAAGCCAATCACACTGTGCTGGTTCTTCTGTATCAAAAGGGATGGTCAACCAATTGGCATACTGTGGCAATACCAGCATCCACCAGGTCTGTTCTGTGGGAGCCAAATGGATGGTCATTGACCCCCAATGTCAGCCATCTTTGTCATGTCAGAAAGTTATGCTCAAAGTCCATCATGCCTCTCGCTGAACATCTACTCCTCAGCATAAACATTTGCCCTGCAATCAGGAGCAAGAGGAGACTCACATCATCATCAATTCATGTCATCCACTCAGTTTGGCAGGAGGGAATTGTGAGCAGGAACTAGCACTGGTAAATGGGTGGGGCAGTACCGACCACATGCAGCAAAAATGTTCCCTTGTGATGCATATAATGCCGTGAAACAACTGTGGCAGGGTGGCTTTGTTTATTATAGTCATGTGCAGCACAGCATATGGACTCTTGGTATAGGTACAGGGACCATGCATAAATACAACATGATCTAATAACTGAGTAGAGACACCTAAAACTGATTTAGCTGTTAAATACGTTTTATCTGGTAACACACGATATATAGCTATTAGCCATAAAATTAATACAGATTTTGCCTACATTCTTCACAATTCCAGACAGATTTAACTAAATCTAAATAAGTTATGCTTAACATTGGAAAAAAAGAGTCTACATACCATTTTGGATCAGTTTAATTTTATCTCAGTAAAAACCAATTCAAGCTATGTTAGCATAAGGATATCAATGGGCACTGGCAAAGGTCAAGGGATGACACATGAAATGTCAGCATTGTTATCTATTGCAATGCTTATCAAAGCATATAAGAGAAGAGTGGAAGCGTTGTACTATGATGAACTATGTAAGCATTTCCACAGAAGTATGTGGGGGGCAGCTTGGTACAGGCTCCCAGAAGGGGTGTGGCCTTGGGCACAAGGGACAAGGCGAGAGGCAGACAGCCCTCAGTGCTGCTCAGACTGTACTATGCATCCTCCAGCCAGCCCTCAGCACTGCTCGGACCATTCCACATGGGCTCTGGTGGCGATTTAAAGGGCCTAGAGCCCCAAGCACTTTTAAATCGCTGGGCCCCAGAATATCTGCCCCTCTTACGCCCTCAGTCGGCGGCCCTGCTGTGAGGTTTCTGTAGAATAAAATAAATGCCTTTCTGAGCTATGTTAATTACTTGGTGCAAATTCCCCCCCATGTAATAGTAGTTTCCTTCACTTTTCAGCACTCTAGCAAAGTGTCCATTAGTGAAAAACAATTTTCTTTTCAAAATGTTTAATAATAAGGGGTCTCTGATCACATTAGTCCATGTAAGTCAATGGTATTGTATCTGTTTAGCCTAGTTAATTTGCTTGTATCGACAGTTCACCTCTGCTAATATTATTTTTCCACACATGCCATCTATAATTCTTAAAGTGTTTATTGGCCCTACAACGTACAACAAAAGAAAACTGAATCATGTGCAAAATATTCTTCTCTGTGTATTTTAAAAATAAATTAAATAATTGCAAAATACATGTGTAAAGACACATTTAAGAAATGTTTATGTTCCATTTACACCCAACACATTTGTTAAAGAATCAATAACTCCCCAACAGAACTTAGTTTAATCAATAGTTGATTGTAATAGACCCCTACATGAACTATCAAGTTCAAGAACAAGAATCAATCTTCAATGTTATTCTATGAATGATATACACCTACCAACAATTTTGATGTTGTTATTTTCATCCAGAAGAAAATTCTCAATTTTCAGGTCTCTAAGCAAATCAAGACAGAAAGCAAATTTTAAGATGTATAATATTGAAACCTAACATTTATGTTCTTATTCTTAGCAGATATGTTAACAAAAGTTGATTAAAATAATGAAATTATTTAACTCAGAATGAACAGTACTGGAATGGAACTTTCATAAGTGTGTTGAATAGCTTAATGAGTATTTTTAAAAGCAATTCATTCCATTAATATAATTAGATTAAGACAATACTATTATTTTGTGTACTAAGTAATTAGTACTTTGTGTACTATAGTAATTCAGTGCTTCGAAACTTCAAGAAAAATGTCTAAAATATATCTATTGATTTTTTTGTTGCTACCCTTCATTTTCAAGACAAAGGTTAGTATTCTTATTTTTGTCTTTTGCAAAAATATTTTCCCACTCTTTGAGCCTCGAGCATTCAGATTTGCACTTCAAGTTTATGGAGAATTGAGCATATTTCTGTGTTACATTAAAGAGGTGATTATGTTAATTTAATTGTGTACAGAAAATATATAAGAAAGGAGGTAAATTGAGAAGTGAGAGCTGCCTTATGTGTTAAACAATCGAGTCAAAGGAGAACATTGCAATAATGTTCCTGTGGACAGGATCAGCCAAAAGAGAACTGCTTGTAGCAAATAGTGATGACCAGGTCAAAAATATAGGTGAGATATTATAAATTGCCTTAGCTGAACATGGGCTTATTTATGTGAAAATTTGCTGTCTTGACAAAAGACTAAGAGCTAGAAACTGGCTTCTCCTTTGGTGGTGCCAAGTGGCTAGAATATGGCCCAAAAGGGCAGCTAAGGTTTTTCCATAGCACAAGGGACCTCTCAGATGATATAATTTTGATGTTGGGAACATGGCCAGAGCCTCTTACAGTTCTGTGATCCCTGCTGGCATAACAAACTGTTGGATAGCACTGCATGCTGGTGTAATGCAGAGCAGTCCAAGGGATGTCCTAAAGTCCACTGTGGTCAGGAGTGGCAAAAATGGGATGGAGAACAAGCAGCTCCTTTGAAATCCCTTCCCTCAGTTATAACTAACATGTATTGGAGACAGTGAAGGATTTGTTCAGCCCTTCCTTGCAAAACTGAAAGTGTATATTGAGACAAGACCTAATGAGGGATGGAGACTGGGAGGAGAGCATGGAGAAAGGATGGGGAATTATGTAATACTATAGCAGTTTCATAGGCTATTAATGCAAATATCTTGAGATTAACCTAGTGTTTTGTGGGGGGCGTATAGGTGTGCATGGATCTACTCATTGTTTATAGGTCTCAGGAAGGAGGTTCCTGGCACTACAAAACTGCACAATAGAACTTTGTGGCTTTCATTTAAAAATGTTAGTAATTTTATGAAAACAATTTAAATACATTATTTCTAAATATGCAAGTGAATGCCCAAAACCTTTGAAATAAATTAAGATGATTATTGCCTAACATACAATAGTATTGCATAATTTTAATACACATTATATCGCTCACCTCTGCAAATCGGATATTGCTCTTGGAGTTTAACACTCAGGTTATGTCTACACTGTAGGCTTTTTGCACAAGAAGCTTTTTGCGGAAGAGATCTTCCGCAAAAACTTCTTGTGCAAAAGCGTGTCCACACTACAAAAGCGCATGGACACTCTTGTGCAAGAAAGTTCTGATTGCCATTAACAAAATGGCCATCAGAGCACCTGTGCTTTTTCTGTGCTCTTTTTGCCCAAGAACCCCCTGTTGAGCGTCCACACACACTTTTTTGTGCAAGAATTCTTGCGCAAAAAGGAGCTATTCCTCATAGAAAGAGGTATACCTATATCGCAAAAAGCCCTCTGTTCTGCTGTTCTACTGTAATTTTTCTTGCACAAAAATGCACTTGAGGTGAGGACGCTCTGCAGGTTTTTGCACAAAAACCCTATAGTGTAGACATAGCCCTAGTCACTATGGGTATGTCTAGACTACAGGCTTCTGTCGACAGAGGCTTGTTGACAAAGCCTTTGTCAACAAAGAGCATCTAGTCTACATCCAGTTCTGTTGACAAAGCAAGCTGCTTTGTTGACATGAAAGTGTAGACACAAAGGAAAGTGTAGATGCAATAATGCCTTGTGTCATCAGAACTCTGTCGACAAAAGGTATTATTCCTCGTAGAATGAGGTTTACCACCGTCGACAAAACTGCCGAGTTCTGTCGACGTTATGTAGTCCGGACACACACTATGATTTTTTTATACCCTACAGTAATGAATGTTATTTTGTATCAGCACTACAGCTATTTCTGCAGATCCTGCTGAGTGTTCATGCAGTTATTAAAAAATAAGGGTTTTCTCTCCTGACAAACCTGATAAGGATGACTGTTAAAGTTTTATGGTGTCAGAAGTTCTTCTGATTCAAGGGAACCTTACCAAGTAATGGGGTAATTTTAAGCAACAACATGAACTTTTCCACAGTTCTATGGGGCTTTAGAGAGAACTCCTAGACTAGAGGGCAGTGTGAGAGGATGGTCTGCACCCAAATGCCCCCTGCTGGAGACCTCAGAGCTCTGCCACACCCATCCTTGGAAAGGAGCAGTGGAGAGGTCCTCCAAGAAGGCTAGAGGGGCTGCACAGGAAGCATCTAATCAGGGCCAAGGAGGGCCATATAAAAAAGAGTGTCAGAACACAGCAAAAGGAAAGAATTGGTAAGAGCTGTTGAGCTGCACTGCTAGGAGATGGAGGAGATGGACTGCACGCCCAGTTGCCTGAGGGAACAACAACAGCTAAGTGGGGGTCAAGGACCAGGGACTTTGTTGTGAAGTGCACAACAGAAATATTGTAGATGAGGAAAACCAAAATAACAATCAAAATAGGAAAAAAGGATTCCTGGTAACAAATATTCATTTGTCCTTGAAGAGCAATATTTAGTTAAATGTGCCACAAATGCAATAGCTAATGTTGGTTGTTTCAAGGTGCATTTCAAAGTTAAGTCAAAAGCGTCCTTGTGCCATTTCCAGGCAAAATTATTGACAACAAAGCTCCAACATGTGACATCTGTCAACATGCAGAGAGATAGTCTTAGGAGCACTAAAAGATGATCTTGTAGGAATAGCGGTGAGGAGTCCTGTGGCACCTTATAGACTAACTGAAGTGTTGGAGCATAAGCTTTCGTGGGCAAAGACGCACTTCGTCAGATGCATGCAATAATACTTTGACCCAGATTAATTCCCAAATGACCAAAATAATGGCCACCCTTTCATTTATAATGGTTCTTACCCTCTTAACAAACCTCCGGATTAGTTCTCTCTAACAATTCATCCCCCAGAATTCTCCACTCATCATAAACAGAATTCACATTCGTGAATTATTGATTTTGTCCATTTTATTTGAAAAGGGGGAAGAACCCTACCTGTGGACAATCCCATGGCGATGCAGATGGTCAACTGCAGACATGATCTGCCTGGTATATTCCCTTACTTCCCTTTCTTCCAGTTTCTTTTTGTCACAGATTCTGTCCATGAGGTCTCCACCTAGGCACAGTTCCATCACCATGTAATAGGAGTTTTCAGTCTCCAATGTCTCATATAGCTGAACAATATTAGGATGCTTAATCATCTGGTGTATCCGGGGCTCTCGTTTCATATTTTTTAAAACGTAGGAATCCTCCTTGGCTTTTTTCTTGTCAATGACTTTTATGGCCACCTATATTGTAGAATATATGCAAATTGGCAACACCCATTTCAACGTGAGCAACATAGACCTATTTTCAAAATGCTTGGGGAACAAGTTTAATGGTACAGAGAAGATTCATTGCCAGTGTGAAGCATAAGCCTCTTGTCTCCCTGAAGGGTCAAAATTTGCTATTTGAAATGCACATCACATCGATAACTCTGTCTCAGAATAGGCCACTGATTGCAGTGGGGAATGTGTGCATGTAAAACACACTTGAAGATAAAAAATAAATATGTTCCTTTAAATGTACAGGCAGTCCCCGAGTTATGCGGATCCGACTTATGTCGGATCCGCACTTACGAACGGGGCTTTTCTCGCCCCGGAATTCGCGGGCGGCGGGACCACCCAGACGCGCAGTGGTCCTGCCACCACGTCCTCCGGGGCGAGAAAAGCTGCTCCGGGTGTCCCTGGTCTGCTGGGGTGGTCCCCAGCAGACCAGGGACCCCCCGAGCAAAGCCGCAGAGGCGGCGGGGTCCCGCGCCTCCAAGGCTTTGTTCCGGGTCTCCCTGGTCTGCTGGGGGGGAGGGGGAGCGCAGCTAGTGCGCCCCCCCCAGCAGACCAGGCTTTTGTTGTGGACGCCTGGGGTAGAGCAGCTGGGGTGCTGCCGGGTTGGTCCTGGGGGGACCTAC